AGTGCTACGGAGTTGGAGGGTTGGGTATGGTATTCGGTTAGGATTCACCTCAAGTTGGCGATGCAACCAAAAGTATGTATTGTTTATTTGTTGTTTATTTAATCTCTCGATAGCCGGCTATCGAAAGAACATTCATTTTGTTTAGTGATCATGATCATGATCAAGTCATGACGGAGAGCTTGGGATTAAACCCATGATTTTCTGCTCAGTATGCAAAAACGATCCCTCCAAGGTCATCGAGCATCTCATAACCATAACACTTCGCGACAAAACACGGCTACGTTTTCGCTTGATATGCAAATAGCTTCCAAGGTTAATGTTCAATATCAAATATACAAATTATGGTGGCGATTTATTGTACTGTGGAAGAGCTTGGGGTTAAATCCATGATTTTCTGCTCAGTAAGCAAAATCGATCCCTCTAGGGTCATCGAGCATCTCATAATCCACAGCGCTTCGCGTCAAAGTACGAATATATGGATGAACTATCTATTATTGAATAACTATTATTTACGAAAATTACATGAAACAAATAAAATATAAACTACACACAAAACGTGACTACTAAAATCTCAAAAAAGATATTCTCACAAATATATTTCACGCAACCAGGAATCTCAAAACCATTAGACGCTATAATGATACTCTGCACATGTTAGACACAAGAAGAGGCCAAAAAGCAAGCGTCCGACACACAAAACCCGCCAAATCCACTTGCAGTCACAATCAACGATTGGCGATGGCGGAGGATATCAATTTTCCACTTCCCCTCATCGATACCCATATTGCATGGGTTTAGATGAATATTCCCTGTCCAGGGGCCGCCATATTGGATTTTGGTCCACCATGTTGGATTCCAAAATGGCAGCGGATTTCAATTTTCCACTTCCTCTCATCCAGCCCATTCCGTAGATACCCATATTGCATGGGTTTAGATGCATATTCCTTGTCAGGGGGGCCACCATATTGAATTTTGGTCCGCCATCTTGGATTCCAAAATGGCGGCGGATGTCAATATTCAACTTCCACTTAGCGAGCCTTTTCCGCAGAATCCCTATATTATTGGTGAAGATGCTTACTCCTTGTCCGGGGGCTACCATATTGGATTTTGGTTCTTCATCTTGAATTCCCAAATGGCGACGGATGTCAATTTTCCACTTCCACTTAGCGAGCCTTTTCTGCAGAATCCCTATATCATTGGTGAAGATGCATATTCTCTGCCACCATATTGGATTTTTGTCCGCCATCTTGGATTCCAAAATTGCGGCGGATGTTAATTTTCCTCTTCCTAACACACAGTGTGCAAGTCTCTGAGCTGTTCACAAACTTTGGTGAAGAAGCAGGAGCAATTCTCAACCGAAGCCAAACTGTGGGTTTAATGACAGGCAACATCAACTTAACGGAAGCTACCGAGTGGCTCACAATTGAGAACCACGTCAAGATCCTAGGTATCTTTTATTACGAGAATACCCGAACTGCCAGAGATCTCAACTGGAATTCGATCTTATCGGGTATGAAACTGCGGATTTGGGAACAAAGTCCCAGAAACTTGCCACTTACTCTAAGAGTGACACTACTAAACACGTATGTGTGCTCAAAAATGCGGTACGTGGCCTCTATCGTGTACTTGCCAAAAAAAACTACGAAGCTCGCATTATAACTGAGCTGAGAAAGTTCCTGTGGATGGGGCACCCTCAACAGTTCAAGATCTCCTTTCAAAATCTTACGCTTCCCAAAAACTGTGGTGGTTTAAACCTACACTCTCCAGCGTTGAAATCAAAAGGTCTTCTACCGAAGCGATTGGTAAAGTCATTGGATCAACTTACACTGCTAGCCGATTTTCTGGAAGGATCTGGTAATCCACCAAACGCCCCAAGTATCCCTGCAGAATTTCAGCACGCTAGGTTGGCATTGCAGGAAATATCATATCTCTCCTCCAATCTTTTGGAGAACCTGACGGCGAGTGGTTTGTACCAACATTACCTTTCGCTGCTTCCGGATCCACCGATCTTCATCGACTCGCAGACAAATTGGAAAGCGGTCTTTAAAAACATTCACTTCAGCCTGCTTCCAGCTGAGCAACGGTCAGCGTGGTATTTCATGATACATGAGAGGATTCCCCACAACCAGCTTTTTCATCGCCAAAATCCAACAATCGACCCATTATGTGCCTTATGTCCAGGAGAAATTGACACTATCGTTCATCGCATCTTCAAGTGCACAAGGAGTCGTAATGTCTGGTTCTATCAGAAGTCTTTATTAGCTCATCTAGACCCTAGGCTTCGTCGCATGGAACCAGAAAAGATTATGTATTCAGTCTTGGATTCCTTAGCAACATAATTAAGGTATGACACCGATAATGACCATGCATCAGAACCCTAGTCTTAACCACTTCAAACTAGGGAAGAACGAATAGAAGATTAGGAATCACATAGATGAAGACAACTAACTATTTTTTTTCCCTTGTTTCAAGGTCATCCTCGGTAGACAAAGCCGAGTCTTGTCACTATCAACAAGGCATAAAAAGTAACAAGGACTAAGATGTGTTCCTTGGATTACTGAAAAATCCTGTTCCCCTAGTTTGAAGTAGCCAGGACTAGGAATCGGTGGTAGATCTTACATCCCGTAACGTACCACGAAAAGGTGATCTACCCACGTTACGGGGTATTTATCATGACAATTCAAATGCAATATCCGTTTGCACTGTTTACTGCAGAGTCAGGCTAAAGTGACCTTTGGAAAATGTCCGTAAATTGTATCTTGTAATCCATCCTCTGAAAACGAAATAAATTTAATTAGTAGTGTATGACGGATTTCAAATAAAGCGAAATAAGGCTTGTACTCGAAAAAAATGCACCTTTTTTATCCGTGGGTAAAAATTGATGAAAATCTGGCTATAACTAGTTTGGAGTGAATTGTTTACATGTGCAAAATTTCATAACAATCGGTTCAGTGGTTATTGCGATGTCATCGAAACAAGAAGAAAATCGCCGGAGAATTTTGCGCGCCGTCATGGAAAATCCGACTGCGACCATGAGATGGACCGGAAGACAACTGGGAATCACCCTCGGAATCACCCATACAACCAACAATCAATACGAAACTAACGATTTTAAATTGGCTCACTACTTGACTAGCCTATTGGTCCGAAGCAAACGATTAACGTACCTCATTCTAGTCGAAATTCTAGTACTACGCAATGTTTGTTTTGATTCGCTATGAAAGTTTGACAGATAAAATGAGAGGTTAGTGGATTTTCCTATGTTTCGAGGGGTGAATCGATTAGCTTGGGACCGAAGAGAGTACCAGAGCTGAGCCAAAAAGTTGAGCACGTTATTTCGGGTCCTTCTAGTCTTAGAGTTACCTCTATGATACAACTGTGTCTCGGGTGGTAAAATCGTTTAAGGAGTACCAGACGACCGAGTGGCGGGCTGGAAGTGGAAGAAAATCGAAAACAGCTGACCCTGTGAAGGCCCGGAAGGTGTTGGATTATTTCAAGCGTAATCCGAACCTTTCAATTCGCGACGCGGCTCTGAAGCCAAAGTGTTCCGCCTGGTTCGTTCAGCAAACCATGAAACGAGCTGGGCTTCGTGTATTCAAGAAGGCACCGAACTGGCGTGATCAACAAAACACGGCGGCCAAAATCGAGAGTGGTTAACGAAACCGATGTGTGTGGTTATGGATGACGAAACCTACATCAAGGCAGACGCAAAGCAGATACCGGGGCTGGAGTTCTACGTTGCCAAATCACGGTTTGATGTTCCGGAAGACATAAGGAAGAAGAAAGTGGACCAATTTGCCAAAAACTACTTGCTCTGGCAGGCCATATGCTAATGCGGTAAACTGAGTAAACCGTACATCACAATGGGTACCATCAACAGCGAAATTTACCGCACCGAGTGCCTCCAGAAGCGTCTGTTGCCCTTCCTGCGGTCCCACGGAGGCGAGACATTATTTTGGCCGGACCTGGCATCATGCCATTACGCGCGATCGACGTTGGATTGGTACAGAGACAATAACGAGGACAATAACGTTGTTTTTGTACCAAAAACCGCCAACCCCCCAAAGTCACTTGAGATTCGTCCGGTGGAAAGATTTTGGGCCATAATGAAGGCCAAAGTTCGAACATCTTCCAAGGTGTTTAAGAACGAGCTGGAGTTGAAGAAAGAATGGATGAAAGGTCCAAAAAGGTCGGCTCCACCATTGCACAAAATGTAATGAGGGGTCTTAAGGGAAAGGTGCGGGCTTTCAGCGAAGGAAAGGAAATTGAATAAAATAATTATGCCGAAACATAATCCATATGTATTAGTTCATTCCCTGAAAGTTTCAAGAAAATCCGACTGAAGTTAAATTTTTGGCGAACACTTTTTTTTCGAGTACAGTTGCAGTTTGCTGTTAAGGAATCACTTCTTCCACTAATAAAATCGATGCCGCCATATTGAATCACTTTTTCATACATGTAAATCACGTAATCTCATTTTACGTAAGCACACCACAATCACACAACCGCACATGGAAGTTTGATGTGAAAATGTTGTCACATTCATCATCAGCTCCAGCGAACATGCCATGATATATTTATCAATTTTACTACCATCATGTAAACATGAAAGTTGAAGCATTCGAATGAGCTACGTGATCTTTCACGTAGATTGGACGTGTATATGTATGATGATCACTTACTTTTTACGTGAAATTCACTTAGCATCAACGAACATGAAAATCACGTAAATTTTATCAAAATTTAATTTGACATTGACGTGAGCCACGCGGAAATGATCGAAGATTTTTTAGAGTGAATTGCCCAGGAAAGTCAAGAAATTGTCCAACCCGAAAAACTCCTAGCCCGGACCGGAAAACTCGAATCCAGCGGCCTCCAGTATGGTCTTGCTTTGTAGCTGCACCTCTGCCGAGCTAAGGGAGGACTCAGTCCACGGACGATACTTTAGTAGGATATACTCTGGGATTCTAATGTGACTAAAATACAACTTTCAATTGCAGGAAAAGACGCAAACGCATCAAGAAAAGCTCCGAAAGCGATGGCGAAGATGATTCGCCCAGCAAAGGTCGCAAGAATATTCGCAAGTTGCTGAAGAAGTCTGCCCTCGAACAAACGACAAAAGAGGCTGAACAGGAGGAGAAGGATCGCAAGCAGCGTATCGCCGACCGGCAGAAGCTCTACAACCAAGTATACGACGAGAAGCCCGAAGAGGTGAAGGAGATCAACCAGCTGGTGCTGGACTTTGACGAGGAAACCAAGGAACCGCTCCTGGAAGTGGATAGGAACTTGGTGAAGAAGTTGAAGCCCCATCAAGCGAACGGAATCAAATTCATGTTCGATGCGTGTTTTGAGAGCTTGGAAATGGCACGCAATAGCAAAGGTTCCGGCTGTATTCTGGCCCACTGTATGGGTCTAGGTAAAACGCTCCAAGTCGTAGCGTTGGCGCACACCCTGCTCGTCAATTCGGAAGTGACCGGAGTCGAACGGATACTGGTAGTTTGCCCATTGTCCACGGTTCTCAACTGGGTCAACGAGTTCCGAATCTGGATGAGACACGTCAAGAAGGGCACGGACGTGGAAATTTACGAAATCTCAAAGTAAGTATCTAGTTGCAAATTTGTTTCAAGTTTCTCCTAAACAATATCGACACATTTGCAGATACAAAAACAACGTCATACGTGCCAATCAGCTGATGGAGTGGCACAACGAGGGCGGTGTCATGATCCTGGGATACGACATGTTCCGGAACCTGTCGAATCAAACCACTGGCCGTATTCGGAAGAAGGTACGGGAATCGCTGCGAACGTCATTGGTCGATCCAGGACCGGATATGATCATTTGCGATGAGGGTCATCTGCTGAAGAATGAGAAGACATCTCTGTCCAAAGCGGTCAACCAAATTAAAACCTTGCGGCGGATTGTACTGACCGGTACTCCCATTCAGAACAATATGAAAGAATGTAAGACCCTTAACTCATGTCTCTTGTAAGTACGGTTTAGGTAACTGACAATGTTTCTCTACACCCACAGATTACTGTATGGTGCATTTCGTGAAGCCAAAACTTCTCGGAACGTACAACGAGTACATGAACCGGTTTGTGAACCCAATCACCAACGGTCAGTACACAGATTCCACGCCGTACGATATTCAGTTGATGCGGAGACGAGCTCACGTGTTGCACAAACTGCTGGATGGATGCGTGCAACGGAGGGACTACGCGGTGCTGGCTCCGTTCTTGCCCCCGAAGCTCGAGTTTGTCGTGTCGATTAAACTGACTCCGCTGCAGTGTACTCTGTACAAAGTAAGTGCGAGGCGACGTTCTTCTGAAAGTCCTTGTAATTCATCACCTCTCCTCGTTTAACAGTACTACATGGAGACGCAAGCCCGAAAACAACAAGGAAACGATGAAAGCAAACGGTCGTCGGTGCTGTTCTCTGATTTCCAGAACTTGCAGCGTATCTGGACCCATCCACGCGTGCTACGGTACAATAGCGACCGCTACGAGTACATGCAGCAGAAGAAGGTAAGTGTAAAAGAACAATAATATTGATCTCTTCATAAGTTTTTTTTTTTCGTTTTTATTATAGAGGCTTAACCATCATGTGGTTATTCGCCTCTTTTAAAAAAAAATATTACGGTAAACGCTCCTATAGCTGCAGTACGTTAGAAACGTTAAGTTCCTATAATTGTGTATGGAGTCTCCATACCCAAAATGAAAATTCACAATATTTTGATAAAGAATGGAATATTTCCTTCGTTAAGTAGTTTAATAATAGAGAGATCATTTTCTATTTCACTAGAGAAGGGATTATTTCTTTATTTGATTAAACCCTTGCCACTACACCACCGGCGTCGCTATCCTTATTTGAATACATTTATAAAGAAAAGAATGTTTCCATCTTTTGAATGTGCTTAAAATGCTGAAATGCGTTCCAAACCATTGCGTCTTGCAGTGAAACTTTTCCAAGCTTTCGCCTCCTACATTTCGAAGTGAGAACTACTAGAAGGAGGATAGTTTCCAAATTTTCCAAGTAAAACAGACGATTTTTGGGGCAAATCGGTCCATAAAGAAAAACTAATAATTTCTCGTGGAAACTTTTGCTTGAATCGTGTAAGAAAACGTATTTGAAAACTAATTGTTATTGTTTCGGTATGGATCGGAGATGTTTTCATGGAAAATAATGCATAACAAGTTTGCACCCACAGCGAGAGGTTACCTCCTGCGCAGCTGCATTTTTCGGAAAATTGTGAATATGTGCGATTTCCACTAAGATGAAAGTGGAAATTAAGTGAATTTACTTAGGAAGGTTGTATCATGCTGGTGGTAATGGAGAATTGGTTGTATAGGACGCCAATATTCAATAAATGTTCATTTTGGCCTTTTCTAAGCAAACATATTGATACTCACAATTTTCGACGGAAAACGCTACGGAACTTGCTTTACTCAACACGCACCATACTATAAAATGGTGCCGGATGGTTTTGAAAGTGATAACAACATGACAAATCATCTTTATTTTGAGTAATTGAGCAATTTACTTCTGTTTACATCATATTTACGATGCAGCATTGATGGAGCCGCGAAATGAAATGAATATATCTGATGAAAGTTCAACTGGAAAAGTCAAAGATGCACATCAGTCTGATGGTAAAAACGTTTTCTTCTTCAATTCGAATGTTATATTGGAAGGATTTTACACAGGCTTGATGAAAATTATGATTCAACGCTAATTTTCACGAATTTTATATGCAGTCTGTCAACATTATCATCATCATGCAGTGGCGACATCTACGTCGAGCGTTTACGGCAATCTTCCAATTGAAGAATGCTCTCGCTTTGCTTGGTGCGGTGTAGATCGATCTACAAGGACTTCATTTACTCCCCTGACGATTATAGCGAAGACAACAAATCAAGAAGACTGGCAACTTTGCCAGAATTCAAGCGACAGATATAATGGCGCTGCGCTTGAGTGAAGGTGGAAGCAACGCATTGAAAATATACAAACCCTTCTTCTGAGAATGTAATCTTTGCTAACAAATTCGTTCGAAGCATTTACCTTTGAGCGGCAGATGACGCAATTGTACCTGTCGTTCATAGCGTTCGTATGAGAAAATTAAAGAGTTGCCAGTCTTCTTGATTTGTTGTCTTCGATAATAGGTAAAGAAGTGCCGAAACCATAATTTCCCCTACGATTTTCGGTAAAGATCAGAAGGAATTCAAGGGCAAATCGGTTGCGCATCGATCAAAAGATCAGAGACCGTCAAGACTGGATCTGATCAATTTCTGGACAGAGGGTTTTGACGTATCAATCTACCGACGTATTCAGTGAAAATTAAGGGTTGTTTCAAGGTCCTTCGGGTTATCTTGTTCTTGAACTCGAGGTCTTCTGGGATCTCATAAAAATACCCTGGGCTGGATCACAGGATTCCCAAGTACCAGAACATAGTCAAAGATCAAAAGATTCCAAGATTAAAGATATTCAAGTGCAAATCACTACTTGTTCGTGGATGAATGGTGCCAGAAAAGTGATCGATCGGAACATTAAAAACATATATATACATATATTCAATCTTTCGTTAGCGTGACATGATGTCGGACGAGGACTCAGTTGGTTCGATTAAGGACTTCCTCGACGACGACGACAGCGAACAGGAAGACACGTCCGAATCGGAATCCGAATCCGGCGGTGGCAGCGACGACAGTCATAAAAAGAAAAATAAGAAGGAAGAGCAGACGTTGGCGTCGGTTGCAGCAGCTGCTCGGCGCACCCGGAACAATCCCAATGTGGAGGGTGGGTTTCTTTTATTTTATTTTTTTTTTTTTCGATTGGAATCACAATGATTATTTTTTCGCAGAAGAGGATCTTCCGGTAATTGTGGAGCAGAAGAATGAGAACCCCACCGAATGGTGGATGTCGATGGTTCCCGAGGAGGAGTTAGATAATTTGGAACATTCGGGCAAGCTGCAGGTGCTATTTGAAATTCTGAAAGAATGCGAAGCTATCGGTGATAAATTGTAAGTAGATTTGTTGTATGTCTGGCTACAAAATGGATTATCAAACTTGTTGTAGGCTTGTCTTCTCGCAATCTCTCTACGCACTCGACGTTATCGAACACTTTCTGGCACTCGTGGACGAGAATACGCAAAAGGACGAAGACGAAAGGGATACCGAGCTGGACAAATATCAGGGCTCGTGGACGCAGGGATTGGACTACTTCCGTTTGGATGGATCCACCGCCATCGAGAACCGGAACTCCGCCTGTAAGATCTTTAACGACGAGAGTAACCATCGGGCTAGGTATGGATAGAGAAAGCAACTAGCGCGGATTATGATAATGATATATTAAATCTTCCCAACCACAGGCTATTCCTCATCTCCACGAGAGCCGGTGGGCTCGGTATCAATCTCGTGGCCGCCAATCGGGTCGTGATCTTTGACGTTTCGTGGAATCCATCACATGACATACAGAGCATATTCCGAGTGTATCGGTTTGGACAGAACAAACCCTGCTACGTCTACCGGTTTCTTGCCATGGTAATATCTATTTTTGTTCGTGTTTAATTCCTGTGTACACACCATAACGACTGCTCTTTCTAGGGCACAATGGAGGAGAAGATCTACGAACGGCAAGTTACAAAACAGGCCATATCAAAACGTGTCATTGACGAACAGCAGATCGACCGGCACTACAAGGAAAACGACCTACAAGAACTGTACCGTTACGACAACATCGAACCGGAGGAGGCACGTCCAACGCCGAATCTGCCGAAGGACCGCTTGTTTGCCGAACTGCTGAAAAAGTTCGACGTTCTACTATACAAGTATCACGAGCACGATTCGCTTCTGGAGAACAAGGAAGAGGAAACGCTGAACGAGGAGGAGCGTAAAGCAGCTTGGGATGAGTTCGAGCAGGAGAAGAATCGTCCTCCGGTCACCAACTATGGCATGGGTAACGCAGCTTACGGCATGGGCATGAACATGGGAATGGGACGAGGTAAGGCATTTTAAAATCCTTCAATCAATCGGTTATCTATCAAATGTTACCCCTCTTCTTAGCAATGAACGGCCCAGTCACATCCAGCAGTATTTTCGGCTTTAGAAACGACGTTCTGCTGAAGCTTCTGAACATGAAAGCCCGTCACGATAATCCCAGCTTCAATGAGGCCAACATTGCCTCCATGATTCCATTCCTAATGCAAGAACTTTGCCGGCAGATGAAAGATGGTGATCTATCGGTATAAAGATAACAACCGCATACCAATAGATACCAATAGATTTCCCCCCCTAATACCCAAATCTTGACCTTTTCAGATGTACAAAAGCCTGCTCGAATTGTACTACCAACTTGAGGCACCGAATCCCTACACCGGCATGAGCTACAATCCAATGATGATGCAACAACCCCAGCAGGCACCACCGATGATGCAGCAGCAACACCACCAGATCCCACAACCTGTAATTATGCCTAGCAGTGTCGGCGGTGGTGGTATGATGGATGCTAATGCCGCCAACTACTCTATGGAGCAGATTCGCTTTCTTCGGCAGCAGGAACAGCAGCGCTATTCTCAAATGAATGTACGACTGATCAAATGCAATTCTCTTCATCCTTGCGATCTAACTAACGAGTACTATCGCCTTTTCACTTTTTAGGAAGCCAGTAGCAGCGGCCTCAACCGGGGTTCGATCATCACCGCAGCACAAAAGCGATTCATGACTGATCCCGAGGAAATAGTAGAACTAGACTAAGTGGGACTTCCCTCAAAAGAAAAAAAAACAACCCTCGTAATTTATTATACATCTATTACATTACTACAACATAAAAACCATAGGAGAGAAATGTAACCCCGGTCCCGTAAGGATATCCCAAAAATTAAATCAAATAATCAGATTTCGATTCATGTCAACATGGTCAAAATTGGATCTCGAATTTACATGGGTCACAGTTTTTACAAAAAACCGACTGCTGATATTAGAATTTTAACAAATCGGAACACACACACCCAACATCGTCCCAGCCAACCCAGCGGAATTTTAATCCCGTTTTGTACAACGGATCATCGGATTTTCCAGCTCTCCTTCTGACAGAAACCAATTCCTACTACATCCTCCCCCTCCCTCCCAGCTAGAAGTAGCGTGAGTATAGGTACGTATGGAAAGAAATTCGTAAATTATCCACCATTTAAGTGTACGTGGCAACAGTGACTCCATTATACACCGTCACAACACAGTAGTAGAATGACGAGAGAATGTGCAAATAAATGATGATCATTTCGACGGATTAGAACCTGCGTGGTGGCTGTTACGATTCACTTCGAAAAGTCCAGGTTTCATTCATTCTCAACTTCTGTCGAAGACTACAGCAGAAGTTGGCTACAATAAGTGGTGTACATATTTCTGGTGCATTATTGGACTCGCTTGAAACACGCAAAGGACGCAAAGACTGATACGAGAAGCGAACGGACCTCAGTTGAAATACGTAATAATGCTCTCTGTAAAATGATTGTCATCGCAAATTGAAATGCACATGGTATTGGTTCAGTCCCATAATTCAGATCATCCAAAACAATGACATAAATAATTGTATCGAACTTCATTTGTTGATCTGAAACGAGCTGGAAACATAGTCATCACTAGCAGAGGTGGTACGACATTTGTAAAGCTTGGAAACCGAAGATTGTCAATTTCATAAGATCATTGATCATTCGCTGCCAGACTGAGCAGTACAGTCGACGTTTTTGTTGAACCCCCCGGTTCGACTTGCAACGACTGAACGAAATCCCTTCAGGCAACACTGCTTAACGTCATATCAAATGTTAAAAAAAACACCAATAAATTCACTCTTGTCTGTAGCGTACTAGCAACAATCAATACGAAACTAACGGTATTAAATTGGCTTAGTTACCTCTATGGTACTAGCGTCCACATGTGTTGCCTTATTTCCTCTACTGAGCCCTCATTTCCTCTTAACCTCAACAGTTTCTCTCTCGCTCGTTTCGTCATGTCAGTAGTGTGCTTTGGTCAGAAATTTTATTGTTTTTGCTGTGGTCATTCATGTCGGTTTGTCGGTGACTGCGGTGCTGCTCACAAAGCTACAAGCAAGGCCTGCCGAAAGCGCGCCGAGTACATCGAGATCCAGAAGAAAGCATCGACGAGAAACGGTCGTAAGAAGGAGCTGGAAACAAATGACCAGAACTTCCCACCGGTTACACGACGATTGTCGATGCAGGATTCGATGAGCTGCCCACCCTGTCAACCGACGTTTCCAAAGGCTGTTAAAGCGCCGCTGCAAAAATATTGACAGACGTCAACGCTGGTGGCTCGAGCTGTCAACGGCAGTGACAGTGAAACGGGGAAGAATATTTTTTTTTGGATAAAAGTTCGCGGCGTGGTCGGTAGTGTTCCTTACCGCTACAGTTAAAATTATTTTGCTGTTATATTACTTTATTATATTATTATATTAGGGAGTGCTGGAGTTTATTAAAATCTAGAAAGGAGGTAAAAAGTTCAAACTATTAAATCTAAACTTAAAACGAAACTAATTCTAAACTCCTAGGACCTAGAAGCTAACCTAAAACTTAAAGCGCAGGGAGAGGCCCCACGCTACAAAGAATCACCAAATTTGTGAGTAAAATGAAAATTATTATAATCTAATCTAATAAAATAAAATAATTGCAGTGAAGCAAACGCTAAAGCAAAAGGCTTTCAGAAACGATTCTATGACCTTTCCCCCACCTGCGCGGACAAACTTCAAAATTTGCTGTTGCAAGTGAACTCGATCGAAATGGACGAATCGAGGTTAGCGAGAGCCGTCGGACCGGTAATGGACGAGGAGTCCAGTTGCGTAAGTTGTCAACGACCGGATCGCGCGGAAAACATGGTCCAGTGTGACCAATGCGACAGGTGGCACCATTACACGTGCGCCGGAGTGAATGATAGTGTCGCGGACCGGGCGTGGGTATGTAGCAACTGCATTACCCAGCAGAAGGATGACATCGCCTCCCTTCGAAGCGGATCTAGTCGCTCCAGCACAACGTCAGCGTTTTCGGTTTGCCTGAGCCAGCTGGTGGAAAGGCAACAAGCCGAAAGAGCTCGTGCAGAGCTAGCGCTACAACGTCGTCATCTTGACGAGCAGCAACAGCTCATTGACAACGTGCTAGGAGGAGACATAGCAGGCAGCCATTGTGGTGGCGTTTCATCCAGTGGTGCGAACATTAAAGTGGCGCCGCCCGCCCAACGTATGCGCCTTCCAACTCCACCTACCCCCGGGGCTCCCTTAGCTTCGTCTGTTCGTCGATCAACACCACTGTTGGGTACACCCAGAACTACCGTACCACCGATGGGTTCGACTGCAGTGCTGGAGCCATCCGCTTCAAGGTCTCAACAGGAAAAGGAGCATCCACTAACCGCCCTTTTGGAACTCAGGAACCGTGTTGAGCAGTGCGAAAAGCGCGCCAAACCAACACCTGAGCAACTGTCAGCGTTACGTGTACAGATGGAGGTGTGCAGAACCCTTCTGGAAGAGTTCCAGTCCGGTGAAGAAGCAAGCGGACAAGCTCAACGGTCGGATGCAAGCGATCCGGTAGGACGACGACTACCAAAGCAAGCGACGACAACAAACGAGCCGCGAATGGAGAAGCAGACCGGCGCCATTCCTAAGGCGAGCCAGACGTTGGAATCGGTACCGGAAGCAAATACTAGTCTGCAGAACCCTCTCTGGCAATTGAGGGATCCGGTAAGCCAACCCAGTTTGCCTTCGGTAAGTCAACCAAACGCTGAAATGCGTCCGAACCACGTCGAACCCCCAGGTAAGCGTCAAGCCTTGAATCATATGAACGTATCCCCTTCCTACCATTGCCCCACGACCAATGATTACGAAACAACCCGTGAGCAGCTGCGAATTGACGCGCGCCCGGGAGAACTTAATATGCCCCCCTCAAATTTTCACGAGCAGCTGCGAGAATCCCTCGCGCGCCCGAATGCCTCGAAAACCTTGACTCGAGATAACCGTCAATCCGAACAACACTCAATCGGAGAGCAAACGCGTGAACCTCCCCCGCGTACGGTTGATTCGTCTCAGCCCCCTCGTCAGTCAGAAAGTACACGAAGATACCAAGCGATTCCTTCCCCAGTGCAACACGGTGCTCCCACACAGCAGCAGCTAGCAGCAAGGCAGTCCCTGGCTAAGGAACTTCCTCGATTCTCCGGTGACCCTGCGGACTGGCCGATCTTCATTTCGAATTATCGCTACACGACTGAAGCTTGCGGTTTTTCGGATGGAGAGAATATGCTTCGCCTCCAACGATGTTTGACTGGACCGGCGCTGGAAACTGTGCGCAGTCGGTTGGTATTGCCAGCAGCGGTGCCCCAGGTGATCGAGACTCTTCGTATGCGGTTTGGACGACCGGAACTGCTGATAAATTCTCTGCTGAGCAAGGTGCGGGAAATCCCAGCTCCAAAGTCCGACAGGTTGGAAGGACTCATCGACTTCGGGATGGCGGTGCAGGCCTTATGCGACCACATTGAAGCGGCGAATGAACGCGCTCACCTATCGAACCCGTCTCTTCTGCAGGAACTCGTTACTAAACTTCCCGCGGACCAACGAATGATGTGGGCGGGATACAAGCGGGGATTCGATCACGTCGATCTAAAAACCTTCGGTGACTATATGGCGTCAGTGGTACAGGATGCGACAAGTGTGGTGACCTTTGAGCCAGAAGGTAAAAGGGGCAGTGCTCGCGACCGTCCGAAGAGCAAGGGGTTCGTGAACGCCCATGCAGTGGAAAGCGCGGGGAGTTCCGGAGTTTCATCGAGCGAATCGAGGGAATCACCCAAACAATTCGACTGCCTGAACTGCAACAAAAGTGGGCATCGAGTGCGCGATTGTGAAGTCTTCAAGAAATTGGACATCGACGATCGCTGGAGAAGAGTTCGTGCGCTGTTGCTGTGCCAGAACTGCCTGTTTAACCATGGACGTCGTGCGTGTCGAGGACGAAAGACATGCGACATTGAAGGCTGCCAGTTTCGCCACCATCCTCTCCTCCACTCCCAAAGAGGACCACCAAAGTTGTCGGCACCGACGCCGAGAGTTCAGGTAGCCGATAACCATACCCACCATCACGCAATGTCATCGAAACTCTTCCGTATCATTCCCGTGATACTCCACGGTCGTAGTGGGTCAATTGAAACTTTCGCCTTCCTCGATGAGGGTTCTGACCTGACACTAGTGGAACACGACCTGGCTACTGCGCTGGGCGTGAAGGGGACGCCTCATCCTCTATGTCTTCGGTGGACTGGCGATACTTCGCGATTGGAGAAGGAATCGCGACGGATCACTATCGAGATCGCTGGAAATGGGCAGAGCAAACGCCACAAGTTGGTGAACGCGAGGACCGTCAACAATCTCAGTCTTCCCGTCCAAAGCTTCCAGGCCGAAGAAGCGGTGAAAGTGTACCCGCACCTAAAGGGCATCCCAGTAAGCAGCTATCAGAATGCCAAACCCAAGATCCTCATCGGCATCGACAATCTGCATCTGGCACTTCCGCTGAAGATAAGAGAAGGTGATGGATCTGCGCCGGTGGCTGCTAAAACAAGGCTAGGCTGGTGCGTCTATGGTCCTCGAGGAAGCAGCAATCGTGAATCGTACAGCTTCCACGTTGGAGAATGCGCCTGTGACGAGAAGCTCCACGAGACGGTGAAAGATTTTTTCGATATTGAGAACACTGGAACGGGTCTAGTGGAAACTCCGTTGACGAAGGATGATCAACGAGCGGTGACCATCATGGAAACTACAACTCGACGAGTTGCGGACCGTTTTGAGACGGGATTAATTTGGAAGGAGGACCAAGTGGAATTCCCAAACAGCTATACGATGGCACTGCGTCGACTAGAATGCCTTGAACGACGGATGGATCGTGACCCGGAGCTGAAGGAGAATCTACATCGACAAATACGCGAATACGAAGTGAAGGGCTATGCACATAAGGCGACGAAAGCGGAAATGGAAGCAGCCGACCCAAGGAGAACGTGGTACCTACCAGTAGGAGCAGTCATGAACCCCAAGAAACCGGGGAAGGTCCGTATCATCTGGGATGCGGCCGCTAAAGTAGATGGTGTATCTCTGAATAGTGCACTACTCAAAGGCCCGGATCAACTATCTTCTCTACCAGGGGTCCTATTCCGCTTCCGTCAGTATGGGGTGGCAGTAAGTTCGGATGTTCAGGAGATGTTCCACCAACTCCGGATCCGAGAAGAAGACAAGATTTCTCAACTATTTTTATGGCGCACTAATCCATCCGACAATCCAACGGTGTACGTGATGGATGTTGCAACATTCGGGAGCACCTGCTCGCCAGCATCAGCACAATTCGTGAAAAACCGCAACGCCGAGGAACATTCCGAAGCCTACCCCGAAGCGGCAAAAGCGATCATTCACGACCACTACGTCGACGATTATCTGGCGAGCTTTAGCTCCGTGGAGGAAGCAGCAAAGGTGGCAAGCGATGTGCGCTACGTTCATGGCAACGGAGGATTCAAGCTTCATAACTGGCGGTCGAACAGCAGCACGGTGCTCAACAGACTAGGCGTAGTCCAACACGATGCCGATAAGGAGCTGGACCTGATCGAAGGCGCGAAAACCGAAAGGGTGCTCGGTATGCTTTGGAGTCCGTCAACCGATGAACTGAGTTTCTCTACACAGATGAGCGAAGAGGTGCAAACGCTGATACGCACAACTACGAGGCCGACGAAGAGACAGGTGCTGCGATGTGTGATGACCCTATTTGATCCGTTGGGGTTGCTTTCGCCGTTCATCATCCACGGAAAGGTTCCCCAACGGATCAAATAGGGTCATCACACATCGCAGAACCCTCTCTGGCAATTGAGGGATCCGGTAAGCCAACCCAGTTTGCCTTCGGTAAGTCAACCAAACGCTGAAATGCGTCCGAACCACGTCGAACCCCCAGGTAAGCGTCAAGCCTTGAATCATATGAACGTATCCCCTTCCTACCATTGCCCCACGACCAATGATTACGAAACAACCCGTGAGCAGCTGCGAATTGACGCGCGCCCGGGAGAACTTAATATGCCCCCCTCAAATTTTCACGAGCAGCTGCGAGAATCCCTCGCGCGCCCGAATGCCTCGAAAACCTTGACTCGAGATAACCGTCAATCCGAACAACACTCAATCGGAGAGCAAACGCGTGAACCTCCCCCGCGTACGGTTGATTCGTCTCAGCCCCCTCGTCAGTCAGAAAGTACACGAAGATACCAAGCGATTCCTTCCCCAGTGCAACACGGTGCTCCCACACAGCAGCAGCTAGCAGCAAGGCAGTCCCTGGCTAAGGAACTTCCTCGATTCTCCGGTGACCCTGCGGACTGGCCGATCTTCATTTCGAATTATCGCTACACGACTGAAGCTTGCGGTTTTTCGGATGGAGAGAATATGCTTCGCCTCCAACGATGTTTGACTGGACCGGCGCTGGAAACTGTGCGCAGTCGGTTGGTATTGCCAGCAGCGGTGCCCCAGGTGATCGAGACTCTTCGTATGCGGTTTGGACGACCGGAACTGCTGATAAATTCTCTGCTGAGCAAGGTGCGGGAAATCCCAGCTCCAAAGTCCGACAGGTTGGAAGGACTCATCGACTTCGGGATGGCGGTGCAGGCCTTATGCGACCACATTGAAGCGGCGAATGAACGCGCTCACCTATCGAACCCGTCTCTTCTGCAGGAACTCGTTACTAAACTTCCCGCGGACCAACGAATGATGTGGGCGGGATACAAGCGGGGATTCGATCACGTCGATCTAAAAACCTTCGGTGACTATATGGCGTCAGTGGTACAGGATGCGACAAGTGTGGTGACCTTTGAGCCAGAAGGTAAAAGGGGCAGTGCTCGCGACCGTCCGAAGAGCAAGGGGTTCGTGAACGCCCATGCAGTGGAAAGCGCGGGGAGTTCCGGAGTTTCATCGAGCGAATCGAGGGAATCACCCAAACAATTCGACTGCCTGAACTGCAACAAAAGTGGGCATCGAGTGCGCGATTGTGAAGTCTTCAAGAAATTGGACATCGACGATCGCTGGAGAAGAGTTCGTGCGCTGTTGCTGTGCCAGAACTGCCTGTTTAACCATGGACGTCGTGCGTGTCGAGGACGAAAGACATGCGACATTGAAGGCTGCCAGTTTCGCCACCATCCTCTCCTCCACTCCCAAAGAGGACCACCAAAGTTGTCGGCACCGACGCCGAGAGTTCAGGTAGCCGATAACCATACCCACCATCACGCAATGTCATCGAAACTCTTCCGTATCATTCCCGTGATACTCCACGGTCGTAGTGGGTCAATTGAAACTTTCGCCTTCCTCGATGAGGGTTCTGACCTGACACTAGTGGAACACGACCTGGCTACTGCGCTGGGCGTGAAGGGGACGCCTCATCCTCTATGTCTTCGGTGGACTGGCGATACTTCGCGATTGGAGAAGGAATCGCGACGGATCACTATCGAGATCGCTGGAAATGGGCAGAGCAAACGCCACAAGTTGGTGAACGCGAGGACCGTCAACAATCTCAGTCTTCCCGTCCAAAGCTTCCAGGCCGAAGAAGCGGTGAAAGTGTACCCGCACCTAAAGGGCATCCCAGTAAGCAGCTATCAGAATGCCAAACCCAAGATCCTCATCGGCATCGACAATCTGCATCTGGCACTTCCGCTGAAGATAAGAGAAGGTGATGGATCTGCGCCGGTGGCTGCTAAAACAAGGCTAGGCTGGTGCGTCTATGGTCCTCGAGGAAGCAGCAATCGTGAATCGTACAGCTTCCACGTTGGAGAATGCGCCTGTGACGAGAAGCTCCACGAGACGGTGAAAGATTTTTTCGATATTGAGAACACTGGAACGGGTCTAGTGGAAACTCCGTTGACGAAGGATGATCAACGAGCGGTGACCATCATGGAAACTACAACTCGACGAGTTGCGGACCGTTTTGAGACGGGATTAATTTGGAAGGAGGACCAAGTGGAATTCCCAAACAGCTATACGATGGCACTGCGTCGACTAGAATGCCTTGAACGACGGATGGATCGTGACCCGGAGCTGAAGGAGAATCTACATCGACAAATACGCGAATACGAAGTGAAGGGCTATGCACATAAGGCGACGAAAGCGGAAATGGAAGCAGCCGACCCAAGGAGAACGTGGTACCTACCAGTAGGAGCAGTCATGAACCCCAAGAAACCGGGGAAGGTCCGTATCATCTGGGATGCGGCCGCTAAAGTAGATGGTGTATCTCTGAATAGTGCACTACTCAAAGGCCCGGATCAACTATCTTCTCTACCAGGGGTCCTATTCCGCTTCCGTCAGTATGGGGTGGCAGTAAGTTCGGATGTTCAGGAGATGTTCCACCAACTCCGGATCCGAGAAGAAGACAAGATTTCTCAACTATTTTTATGGCGCACTAATCCATCCGACAATCCAACGGTGTACGTGATGGATGTTGCAACATTCGGGAGCACCTGCTCGCCAGCATCAGCACAATTCGTGAAAAACCGCAACGCCGAGGAACATTCCGAAGCCTACCCCGAAGCGGCAAAAGCGATCATTCACGACCACTACGTCGACGATTATCTGGCGAGCTTTAGCTCCGTGGAGGAAGCAGCAAAGGTGGCAAGCGATGTGCGCTACGTTCATGGCAACGGAGGATTCAAGCTTCATAACTGGCGGTCGAACAGCAGCACGGTGCTCAACAGACTAGGCGTAGTCCAACACGATGCCGATAAGGAGCTGGACCTGATCGAAGGCGCGAAAACCGAAAGGGTGCTCGGTATGCTTTGGAGTCCGTCAACCGATGAACTGAGTTTCTCTACACAGATGAGCGAAGAGGTGCAAACGCTGATACGCACAACTACGAGGCCGACGAAGAGACAGGTGCTGCGATGTGTGATGACCCTATTTGATCCGTTGGGGTTGCTTTCGCCGTTCATCATCCACGGAAAGGTTCTGATTCAGGACCTATGGCGAGTAGGTACGGAGTGGGACGAACAAGTCAGTGATGAGGTCTACAAGAAATGGCAGAGGTGGATACAGATGATCGAATACATAGCCGAGATCCGAATCCCAAGATGTTACTTCCCTAGTGCTACTCGGAGGACCTACCAGAATTCTGAAGTCCATGTGTTCGTCGACGCAAGCGAGGTGGCGTATTCTTGTGCGGTCTATCTACGCACATTCAACGAAGACGGCGATCCGCAGGGTTGCCTAATCGCCGCCAAATCAAAGGTCGCTCCTCTGAAACCTTGGTCTATTCCCCGGCTGGAACTACAGGCATGTGTCTTGGGCGCACGGTGGTCGAAATTCGTCATAGAAAACCACAACGTTCCCGTATCCAAGACCACGTACTGGACGGATTCAAGAACAGCGCTAGCCTGGATTAAAGCTGATCCGCGTAACTATCGACAGTTCGTCTCCTATCGGATAGGCGAGATCCTGGAACATTCAACGGCAGCTCAGTGGCGGTGGGTACCGTCAAAATCCAATCCAGCGGATGAAGCGACGAAATGGGGAAGTGGCCCGTACTTCGATCACGACAGCAGTTGGTTTCAAGGACCCAACTTTCTACGATTGCCGGAAAAAGAGTGGCCCCGTATTAAAGAACCAGTGACCGCTACTAACGAAGAAATGCGTGCATCGATTCTGCACCACCGATCGTTTGAACCCGCAATAGACTTCAATCGGTTCTCATCCTGGGATAGGCTGCAACGTGCAACCGCATACGCTCTTCGATTCCTGCACAACACGTCCAAGAAGCGGCCGGAATACTCCGGGCCGTTGCAACAATCGGAACTTCGAGCGGCTGAAGAAACAATCCTTAAGTTGGTACAGCATGAATCCTACCCAGATGAAGTTGCCGCACTGTCGAATAAAGCGCCGAACGAAGCGGGACAGGAGGTTATCGGGAAGCAAAGCTCCATCTATCAACTGATGCCAATGCTGGATGGTAACGGATTGCTACGCGAGCGCGGTCGGATCGAGATAGCTGAACATGTTCCCTATGGCGTGCGACATCCGGTGATCCTCCCGAGGAAGCATCGCGTCACGGAACTCTTAGTGAACCGATACCATCGCTATTATCACCATGGGAACGACGAAACGGTGGTTAACGAGGTCCGGCAGCTATACACAATCCCTAGACTTCGATTGGTGGTCAAGCAAGTGAAACGCGATTGCGCCTTCTGCAAGATTCGTCGAGCACGACCAACGATTCCGCCGATGGCACCACTTCCGGCTGCACGTCTAGCGCACCACGAACGACCATTCACTTATACTGGAGTGGACTATTTCGGACCGCTGTTGGTGAAGCTGGGAAGATCCAACGTCAAACGGTGGATCGCACTGTTCACCTGTCTTACGGTGCGCGCTGTCCATTTAGAAGTTGCCTACTCACTATCAACGGAATCATGCATTTCCTGCGTCCGCAGATTCGTGGGTCGCCGGGGGCCACCAGCCGAGTTCTTCAGCGACAATGGAACGAATTTCCAAGGGGCGGACCGAGTACTGCAGCACCAAATAAACCAAGGACTGTCCACAACATTCACCGGTAGGAACACAAAATGGAGCTTTATACCACCGGGAGCACCACACATGGGGGGAGCTTGGGAACGTTTGGTTCAATCCGTAAAGACAGCGATGGTAGAAGCGTACTCCGAGGGGAAGCTAGATGATGAAGGGCTGCAGACACTGGTCGTGGAGGCTGAGAATATGGTAAACTCAAGGCCTCTGACGTATTTACCACTCGAGTCCGAGGAGGCAGAGGCACTCACACCGAATCATTTTTTGCTGCTGAGTTCGAATGGGGTGAAGAGAATCAGCGAAGGAGGCGAAGCGGTAGTTCGGGGACAGTCGCCAGAGCTAGTTCGTCGGCAAATCCTAGGTAGATCGTGGGAGCTGATTCAACGCCAACTGGAGGCATTCTGGAAGCGCTGGTTGATAGAGTACCTGCCGGTGATCCGTCGACAAACAAAATGGTTTGAGGAAACCAGAGCACTCGAACCTGGAGATCTGGTAATGGTGGCGGAGCCAGCGAAGCGGAATGGATGGGAGCGAGGACGAATCATCCATATGATCCCGAATCCGGATGGCCGGAAGCGAAGAGCAGTGGTAAAGATTGGTGGAAAAACTCCAGTGCGGCCGGTGACAAGGCTGGCACTACTCGATGTGAAGGAGAAACGTGAAGTTCCGGAGAACACCGGACTACACCCGGGGGAGACTGTCGATGCAGGATTCGATGAGCTGCCCACCCTGTCAACCGACGTTTCCAAAGGCTGTTAAAGCGCCGCTGCAAAAATATTGACAGACGTCAACGCTGGTGGCTCGAGCTGTCAACGGCAGTGACAGTGAAACGGGGAAGAATATTTTTTTTTGGATAAAAGTTCGCGGCGTGGTCGGTAGTGTTCCTTACCGCTACAGTTAAAATTATTTTGCTGTTATATTACTTTATTATATTATTATATTAGGGAGTGCTGGAGTTTATTAAAATCTAGAAAGGAGGTAAAAAGTTCAAACTATTAAATCTAAACTTAAAACGAAACTAATTCTAAACTCCTAGGACCTAGAAGCTAACCTAAAACTTAAAGCGCAGGGAGAGGCCCCACGCTACAAAGAATCACCAAATTTGTGAGTAAAATGAAAATTATTATAATCTAATCTAATAAAATAAAATAATTGCAGTGAAGCAAACGCTAAAGCAAAAGGCTTTCAGAAACGATTCTATGACCTTTCCCCCACCTGCGCGGACAACGATCGATTACAGTGCTGCCTCCGTTGCCACTCAATCAACGATTGCCCCTCACTCTGCAGAACCATCTCGGGTTCCATTTGATCTTACAAGGAACATCGACTGGCAGAAATATGCAACGGCGGTGACAATCGGTGTCGAATCAATAGATGCGCTTCCACCATTGGAAGAATATCGATTCCTAGCCGATTTGATTTACAAAAGCTCACTGGAAGCACAAAAAATAAAAGTTCCAAGTGCACCCTTTAAAAGGAGACCAGCCACACCTGGTTGGGACGAAGAATGCACAAAATTGTATGTAGAAAAATCTGATGCTTTCAAAGCTTTTCGTAGACACAAAACCTCCACTTACTTCGAGGAATATTCAAAGCTTGAGACAAAGCTGAAACAATTAATCAAAGCAAAAAAACGCGGTTATTGGCGCAATTTCGTCGAGGGACTCTCACGAGAAACCTCAATGAACACCTTGTGGAGGGTGGCTCGCAACATGCGTAACCGCTCATCTTTCAATGAAAGTGAAGAATACTCCAACCGATGGATATTCGATTTCGCTAAAAATGTCTGTCCGGACTCAGTTCCAGCACAAAATATTCTTCGAGAAGCGTCTCCTAGCGGCGGCTCTCTGGATAGACCATTCTCAATGCTGGATTTCTCTATGGCTCTTCTTTCATCGAACAACTCCTCACCGGGAAGCGATATGATTAAATTCAATCTTCTGAAAAATCTCCCAGATATCGCTAAAAGACGCTTGCTAGATTTATTCAATTCCTTGCTAGAAAACAACATTGTACCGCCTGAATGGAGACAGGTCAAAGTAATAGCCATTAAAAACCTGGCAAATCAGCGTCTGACCATAACTCATACCGTCCGATTGCTATGCTTTCGTGCATTAGGAAATTGTTGGAGAAAATAATCCTTCGGAGACTCGATCACTGGGTCGAATCAAATAACTTGCTATCAAATACACAGTTTGGGTTCCGCAAGAGCAAAGGAACAAACGATTGTCTAGCGCTGCTTTCCACAGATATTCAACTGGCCTTTGCGCACAAGGAGCAATTGGCTTCAGTATTCTTGGACATTAAGGGGGCTTTTGATTCAGTTTCCATTGAAATTCTGTCAGAAAATCTGCACAGATGTGGACTTTCTGGAATTTTAAATAATTTCTTGTACAATTTGTTGTCAGAAAAGCAAATGAACTTTTCTCTTGGAAAACTGACAACTTCCAGAATTAGTTACATGGGCCTGCCCCAAGGCTCATGTCTCAGCCCTCTTCTTTATAACTTTTATGTCAAAGATATCGACAACTGTTTGGCAGAACAATGCACGCTAAGACAACTTGCAGATGACGGTGTGGTTTCCGTAAGAGGTCCACATGCCGTGGACTTGCAAGGACCATTGCAAAATTCCTTAGATAACTTGTCTTCTTGGGCTATGAATCTAGGGATCGAATTCTCGCCGCAGAAAACTGAACTGGTAGTGTTTACTCGAAAGCGGTACCCAGCCCAAATGCATCTTAATCTTTTGGGCAGAAACATTACTCAATCATTGTCTTTCAAGTACCTTGGGGTCTGGTTTGATTCAAAGTGCACTTGGAATGCCCATATTACGTATTTGAAGCAAAAATGTCAGCAGAGGATCAACTTTCTCCGTTCAATTTGCGGCACATGGTGGGGTGCTCATCCGGGAGACCTCATAACGCTTTATAAAACAACTATTCTCTCTGTTCTAGAGTACGGCTCTTTCTGCTTTCTCTCGGCAAGAAAAAGTCACCTAATAAAATTGGAACGAATTCAATATCGTTGTCTGCGTATTGCTCTAGGCTGTATGCACTCAACGCATAACATGAGTCTCGAGGTTCTGGCAGGAGTAACACCCCTCCAGAACCGCTTCTGGGAGCTCTCTCTCAGAATACTAATCAAATGCGGAGTGACGAACACACTTATAATTGCTAATTTTGAAGAAATTCTTGGGTTGAACACACAATCTCGATTTATGAGAATCTACCACCACTACATATCATCAGATATGTGTCTTCCTTGTTATACTCCAGACCGTGTTCACTTCACCAATCGCAGTTCCTCAATTGAATATGATCTGACCATGAAACAAGCAACTCATGGGATTCCCGATCAACTTCGACCTGTTATTATCCCACGTATTTTTACTGAAAAGTACCAACAAGTCAATTGCATGAAAAGATATTTTACAGACGGGTCCCGTCTCAATGGATCCACTGGCTTCGGTGTCTTCAATGAAAACTCTAGCGCCTTCCGCAAACTTCAGGAACCTTGTTCCGTTTTTGTTGCTGAGCTGGCAGCAATCAACTTCGCATTGGGGATGATTTCCAATATGCCCACAGACCATTACTTCATCTTCTCGGATAGTCTCAGTTCGATTGAGGCTATTCGGTCGATGAAACAAGGTAGGCACTCATCTTATTTCCTTTCAAAGGTAAGGGAGCAGATGTGTGTGCTGGTCGAAAGATCATATATGATTACCTTTGTATGGGTCCCCTCACATTGCTCAATCCCAGGCAATGAGAAGGCGGACTCTCTCGCAAAGGTGGGCGCGCAGGAAGGCGAATTGTATGACAGGCAAATTTCACACGATGAATTTTACCATTTAGTGCGTCAGAGTACCCTTTCGAGTTGGCAAACCGATTGGGACACTGGAAATCTTGGACGGTGGTTACATTCAATTATTCCTAATGTTTCTTCGAGAGCGTGGTTTAAAGGCTTGAACTTAAGTCGTGACTTCCTTCGCGTGATGAGTAGACTTATGTCCAACCACTACTCGCTAGATGCTCATCTCAATAGAATAAACCTCGTGGACAGCAACATCTGTCGGTGTGGAAACGGTTACGATGACATCGAACACGCAGTTTGGCAATGTACGGATAATGACGCCGCCAGAGAGCGACTTTTGAATACCCTCGAGGCCCAAGGAAGACAACCCTATGTACCTATCAGAGACGTGTTGACAACCCGTGATCTCTGCTATATGCAGTCCGTTTATGTTTTTCTTCAAATGTCTAGTATAAGAATTTAATTCCTTTTGTCTTTTGTCTCTCTTTATTAGTTTTTGTTTGTCTTGTCCCCCCGTCTCGATGAGTCTCATCGTCGCCCACTGGTCACCCACCATAGCCGGTCGAACTCCGGACGAAGCTAGAACAGCACTACCGTTCATACTGGCGACAACGCTCTGATGAGACAATGAAACCCTACCCCAAGCTCCTCCCCTGATCCTATCCTTGGAAAATGTACCCTTCTAACCTCGAGTAAGCCGCGAGTAATCGGCCCAACTCCTACTAGACATAGAATTAAGTGAATTTTGTTACACACAGTGAACAATGAATTATCGGCTCCGTAAAGCTAACGCGATTGAGCTTTCCAAATAAACGAACTAGATAAAAAAAAATCAACGATTGGCTGCTGCGGCGGCCGCCGTCGCTCAAGTTCAAACTGCCGGAGACTCTGCAAACTCAGGTCAACAGACGACTGCTGCTCCACAGCCGCAGGATCCCCCCACAGCCCCTGGGCTAAACTGGTGTCAGGATGGACCGTCCCTTCCGCAGCCCGATGGTTCTTGGTTCACCGCAGCGGAACTAATGATCATCTTCCTCAAGATGCACAACATTGCCAACACCATTAAGAACATATCCGACCAGCTCCAAGCTGTGGTTACCTTCATGCTCACATATGGACCGTGAGCTCATCAAAATCGCTAACTGGAACGCCTTCTCGTTCAAGAAAAAAATTATCGAGTTCGTTGACTTCCTCAAAACATCGACATCGCCATCATCACCGAAACTCAGCTGAAACCGGAGATGAACGAATTTCTTTCTGGATTCAGGATCGTGACGCTGGATCGGACAAGCTCTGGGAGTGGTAAAGTGGGATTGTACGACTTTTCCCCGAAAACATCAAAAGTCGAAAGTTTTATCCCCGAAATACGATTCCCCGAATGAACCAGTTCCCCGAAAGGAACGTTTTCCCGAAAACTATTTCCCCGAAAGAACTAGTTCCCCGAAAGATACAATTTACACTGTGCGATCTATTTAAATATGATCCTTGGGTTTGTTATAACTTATCTATATGAAATTGAGAAAAATATCTCTGCTGAATATTGATAAACAGAACAAAGTCGTTCAACACCCTAGATAAAGTTTGTGGTTATGACTTGTTATGACATTTGGCGGTTTATCAAATTGATAGCTGATTGTAATGAGCATAAAGACTGAGTTTTCATGTAAAGAAGGGAAAATTGTGTCAGTTTTATCAAATATTTCGCTGGTTAACTACTTGTTTCGAACAATACCACAATACACATATCAATGTGTGTCGAAGTAAAGTGGACCCTACACGACTGTTTGCATTGACAATAATCGTATCACAGACAAACAGACATAACACACGCAAGTTGTTCATCGAACAAGCATTTAACGGACAATTCAAAAGTATCGTAGTTGGTAGTACCACCACCTGTGGCGCGCATAGTCAATTCCCTTGCGTTTGACGTTTACACACTACCGCCA